GTTTTTTATCGCTATTTTTAAAATTTACACTCTTTTTCGAAAGAACACATCTTCATACATCGTCGTTCCTCTTTTTTCTCTCTCTTAAAACCAAAGTCAAAATATAAAATTCGAAATCAATTAAAAAGAAAACATATTAAAAAGAAACATATTTAACCTTCTTATCCTAAATAAATGTGTTCTCCTAGACTATATTTTACATTTATAGAAAATTTCATGAAAATCCATTCAACAGTTTAGGAGATATCTTTTAACAAATACAAAAACTACAATCTTTCGCATTTATAATATTAGTAAGAAGTAAAATCGAGTACAACTTAACCACACAGATGTACGATGTATTAAAAGACTAGCTGCTCGCGATTTCGTTTGTAAATTTTATATATGCCTATGTTAGTCGACGAACGTAGCAAAGATTTTTTTTAAATCGGCCCAGTAGTTTTTAAATTATTTCAATACATTACTTTCCACTATAACATTAGTATAGATAATTACAATTACTGAACTAAAACACAATGAACGTTGTTTAGTTAAACATGTTTTAACTCTGCGAACCGTTGGTAGAGACATCAACGTGCTTTCAAGAAAATAATTATTTATTGGTCTATATCGAATTTCAGTCTAAGCACAATTCTATAGCCATGATGTTAAAAACCGCACCAAACGCTAGTTATTATTACAGGCTTGACATATATTTAAGCTAAAATATATTTGAAACCCTAACCTTTTATGGTAATTTTATGTATGGACGAAATACACGAATCAAATCTCTTAAAAGCACTTTAAAGCGGATATAGTTCCGCTGAGTTACACTTACATATCTTTTTTTGGGTATTAAGTTCTTTACTTAATACGGGAGCAATTTATATCGGATTATAAAAGATAAAAAGGTAAGTAAAACAGGCATTAAGACACCTTCACGCCCACCTGGCAATGGGGTCCAAAAAACGGGTACAGTATCGCCCCTCGCTGGGTAATAGGAACCACTTCAGTCTATCGACCCGTTATTTAGTCAACTGTCACGACACGCATTAGGGTGGCTGGCTTCTTTATAATTTATTTATTTTTGAGATAAAATAGGGGATAATATAGCTTAAAATTCTATTTGGCAAATAGAAGCGGAAACTTATAAAGTACGGAGGAAAATAGAAAATAAAATTAAGAATAAATAGTAGATTTTAGTGAATAAAATATATCTTTTCTAATATCGTGAAGCGGAAAGATTTGTTATTTCATATGTATTGATATAACTCGATAAACTACTGGGCCGATTCCAAAAAATTCTTTTATCATTAAAAAACTACGTTATCACTGACTATATTTTTTGTCATTTTAATTTCACGCGGCAGAAGTCGCGAGCAAACAGCTAGTAATTCAATTTTCCGTTACGATTTCATTGACAAATATCTTTAGTTAAACCTGTGTTATTGTACAAAAGAAAAAAATTAAAAGCCTTTGTCAATTTTGCGATTGAACCTTAAAAAGTTCCATTCTGGCAACCCTAGATAATTATTATTTTGGTAGTTGGCGACACTGAGCCGGACAATGGCGTCCCTACGCTTCCTGTTTGCCTTCGCGCGCTATTACACGTCAATGCCTAACGGATAGGCCAATTTGAATTTCTTTTTTTGAATAATGGAGTTATTTCAGCGTGAATATCGGCGGCAAGTTTGTTTTCGGAAAGATCGTGCGATAAAACGTAGCTAATTATTATCCCGTTTTGTAGATATAAACAGCTTGCTTTTATGTAGATCTATTAGGGAATTGTTACATAATTGGTTGAAGTAATTGGAGTAAAGAATATCGCAAGGATAAAGTATTTGCACACGACAATACGGAACTACTTTTTTTAATTATCTTAATTGTACATAACAATACGTTTAGAAATTAAATTATAAATGAACGATATACTAAGTTAAGTAAAAGAAGCTAAAAATCCAATTTAAGTTGTTAATTATTTAACTGTAATTTTAGAAACCTTAAAGTATCGTACTAAATCTTTCACTGAACGTATATACGATCAAATAAAGCGTAAAAAATACGCTGTACTGTTGGAAAAGATATCAATAGACGAGTGACAAGCAATTTAGCGTAGCAACAGTCCGTGTTCCTGAAAAAACTTGCGTCCTCGACACCAGCCCCCTTCAACCCACCCTGTCGTCCACGCTTGCATTTAATTACTCCGACAATAAAATCGGAACAATGCGGGCCAACAGTTCGTCAGCGCAGCTACCAACATAAAACAAAAGAACGGATCCGTCCGACAAGTGACGCTCTCCAACCTCTACTATGACTTTAGTACGTAACGGAGTTTACAATTTTGTAGCATACATTGCGTTTTATTTTCCACTTAATTTTTTACTTTTACAATTATAAATCAACATATATACGCACGAAACTATATGGTTTTTACGACATATACAACGCGATATTCGATCCGGCAGTCAAAAGTGAAACTTAACTAGGGCTCTTTTTAAGTCATTTTAGACTATATATGTCTTATATATTTTATGAACCGATAACCGTGCTCTTTGCTGATCTGGACTTCGTTATCTTACTTCTTACTAATGTTATAACTGCGAAAGTTTACATGGACGTCTGTACATATCCCCAGAACAACTTAGCTGATCTCGTTGTTATTTAGCATAGACATAGAACATAGTCTGGTAGAACTTATGTACTAAGGTTCTTTTTAATTTCGGGCAGACAGTCTTCGGCGACAACTATTTCGTCTCCATAAAGTTCTTGTTGCAGAGACATATGTGAGTTGTCTGTTGTTTCAATGAAAATGAAAAAATAGTCGGTTTCCTAGTACTTATAACCATTCGTTAGTTAAATAACTACATTATTGCGTTTCCGAACTATGTAACTCGAGTTTTACTCCGTTGAGACTTGGTTAAACCTAACACTAATGAATCACTAGGTAATAATAAAATATAACATTATAAAGAGGAATGGTTTGTATTTTTGTATGTATTAAAATGACTCAAAAACTAATATACTCATCAGTGAGTAATTTAGGCTATATTTTTTGTTTACGCGGACAGTCACATGCAACAGCTAGTGATAAAATAAATGGAAACTTCAGTCAGTCGGCATACAGTATACTTACAGTCGAAACCAACTGTTAGTTGTACGCATACTTAAGAAGCAATGTATAAAACTTACAGTCGTAACTATTACTTGACTACGTATACTTGACAAGCAATGTATATTCCGTATAGCGAAGTTATCTACAAGACAATACAATATTCCCTCTCTAATTAGCAGCCGGTACGTCTGAGTGTTGATCGCCGACTCTTTGTCACTTGGAATTTTAACTATTAAATGCTTTTCATGTTACATTTTAAATGAACGTCCCAGGTACGGTTTTAATGGCATTTATCTTTTTGCAAGCAATAGGCAATATGCATATAACGCCAAATTGCACCAAACTTTTTTTAAGTATACTTTATTACTATAAAAATATTCTTGCAAAGATTTTTTTAAATATAATGTGATTTAGTGGCAAAATTTAATCATTAAAAAGTGTCTTTTTCAAATTCCCTCGCTAAGTTCTAAAACGCACACTATTGGTCGAAGCAAATGGCTTATCTAATATGAATATTTTCGCGTCGTCGTTCGTCATCGTTTAAAAAAAGAAAAAATACATGCATATTCCCTATTGTTAATTTTTTAATGACCGTGTCTCTGCCACAAAGACAATATGTCCACCTAAACCGACTTAGGAATTATTTTTAAAACACGATCAAGATGATCTTAGTTCTTACTAATATTATAAATAACACGGTTTAAATGGATGGATGTTTGCTACTTCGTATCCTAAAAGCTAACGGAACTCGATATTTGTACAATAAAGAAAAATAAAGTCTGGAAAAACAGATTTATAACACCGCGCGGGCGAAGTCGCGGGCGAAAGTTGTATATTTTAGAAGTAATTTTGATCATAATATCGTATAAAGTGTAGTTAGTCAATAATTCAAATCCAAATAGCTGTAAAAACAAACAGCGTGTGTGGGAGGGTGGAGGGTGGAGGGTGGGGGGTCGCACGGACACGTGGCGCAATTACCCGCCGCCATTGTGCACGTATCGTAAGGATTAATTTTTAATAAAACCATTCTGTTGTTTGACGGCTATTAGTTTGATTTAAAAATAATCGCCGGGTCCGGGATTGAGTTTTAATGTTTTTGTTACACATAACTTATACTATTATAATAAAGCGTAAACACACTTCTTTGTTATATATAACTTTAAACTGTCGTGGTTTTTACAAATATAATGTTCGTAAGATACGGAGAAAAGTAGACCGATATGGCTTCGTGTAACTTTTTTTTTCACTCTACCGCATTACTTCAGTCAGCCCGTGATCATGGCGCATGCAACTGTGCCGAAATTTTGGGATCTAAAACATTACACTTCTTTGTTGCCTAAGATGTCAGCAATTACAGCATATTTTCGAATAACTCTTTTTTTAATAAAAAGCCCTACACTTACGTCACGCTTTAGGCTATATATTTTCACGCCGATAAACTTAGGGGGTAAATATTTTGTATAAAAACCCTAATGTGTGAAAGAGATCGTTGTTGCCAACATCAAGGAAACAAGGATGCCGTGGTTTGACATCATGTTTTGACAAATGTGAACGAAAAAAAAATATAATTTTAAACGGATGAAGTCGCATGGGAACTGCTAGTATTAGTAGATTTTTGTTTTACTAATATTTTCTTTATCCACTCCAACTAAGCTGTAGGCTTGTGCTAGGATATGGTTTACGACAATAATCGAATACTGGGATTCGAACCCACGACCGCAAGATCGGTAGTCCGTACTTTAAACCATTGAAATAACACACAAACTGCTGGACCGATTTTAATAATTCACCATTAGAAAGGTACAGTACAGTAAAGGTACAAATCTGTCAGTAACATAGGCTACATTTTTTTATAATTCCACGCGAAAGACGTCGCGGGCAAAAGCTAGTATAGTAGTAAATTACTTACGATGTTGTCCATAACCCTGGTTGTGCTGTGGGGGAGGCACGGAGCCATAATTACGTTCCCTTGGCAAATGGTGTCCCAGCATACGATGTCCTGCCATCTCTAGGTTAGCCACTGTGTGTGACCTAACCATACCTAGATAGAACAAAGATATGGTTAATTACTAGAAAATATAATGTTATCTGTCAATACTAATAATTATATAAAAAACTACGTTCGCGTAAAAAAAACAATAAAAAGTATAGCCTATGTTACTGACAACATAGCTTTTTTAATGGTGAAATAACTCAAGAACTATGGGATTAATTTAAAAAATTCTTTCACCATTAAAAAGCGACGTTAACAGTGTTTATTATAACTAGCTTTTTTATAGCATTTTGTTTATTTTATAACTAGCTTTCGCCTGCGACTCCGTCCGCGTGAAATTAAAAAAATAAAAGTGAGTAGCCCATGTGTTCTTCCAAACTGTCCTCCATATGTATGCCAAATTTTACCTAGATCCGTTTAGGCTACAAACTCTAACAAACATCCATCCATCTAAGCTTTCGCATTTATAATATTAGATTTCACGCAGACGAAGTCGCGAGCAACATGTTTCTTCCCTTACCAATGTGAGGTCTCCAGTTCCTGTTCTGCTGATCAGTGAGGTCTCCCGGCTTGAGGACCCTGGGGGGCTCGGTGGCGCCCTGCAGCCGGCGCGCGGGGAAGATGAACTCCTCAGGGTACTGCGGGTCCTCGAACCTCACGCAGACCACGCGGTTGCCCAGCACAGGAGACAGACCCACCACGGGGGACGGCAGCTGGCTGTTAAACACAAAACACTATTAAAAATAATTCATTAAGCGTAATTTGTTAAGAAATAAAAGATATTTTAAATATTTTTTTACAGTCGCTGAAATTCGCTGTGTTTCACTTTCAGAAAAATTGCCTTGTTTCTTGTTGAGACAAACTCCGCTTCTTCATCGAAACAACCAACATTTCGTTGCGTTGCGCAAACGACGGCATAATATAATAATGATTGTTCCCAACCGTCACCCCGTTCTGTCCTACCCCGTCACTTCTGTCCACCCCGCACTGCCCTGTGTTTTATCATCATCTGTCCCAACGGGGTAAAAAGTTTCATCCATCCGTTTGGTGATAATGGGAATAAAAGGTGGGACGGATGAAACTTTTTATTTTCATCAATGCCCTCGTGTGGACACAGTGGGGTGACGGTTGGCAATAATAAAAAAAGCAATCCATACCACTGAACAGCCTTTTTCTTGTGTAAACACATTTAAATAGCTGCTGACCTATTGGTTAGTGTTCCGCAAAGCGCAAATAACGTTCGACATAGTTTTTTAATATAGTACCCGCCGACGCTGACGTTGTCCCCGCTGAGTAGGACGTCCCCTCGCACCCCCTGGCTGCGGTAGGGGTGGCGCGTATCGTCGGGCGCTTGAGGCCGCGCGCCGCCCTCTGCGTACAGCGCCACCAGCGCGCCGTAGCTGGGGTGCGCGGGGGACACGTACAGCCGGTCGTGGCCGCGGATGTTGCGCTGGACTGGAATGCAACACGTGTATAGTACACGATACGTAGTAACAAACATCCATCTATGTAAACTTTTCCATTTATATATATTAGATAAAAAACGTGTTATGACGTCATTTGCGTGGCATAACTGATTATTCCCAACCGTCACCCCGCTGTCCCCACATGGAGACAGATGAGAATAATTTTCATCCGTCCCACCTTTTGCAATGACGGTTGGAGCTGATTTTATTTCATAACGGCTCCATCTGTCATCTTATTAGTGATAGTGGGCCTAAAAGGTGGGACGAATGAAACATTTTATTCTCACGTGGTGACGATGGAGAATAATCCGATATCACATGCAGATGACGTTATAGCACGTTTATTATCTAACATTACAATTGGAAAAGTTTAGATAGATGGATGTTTGTTACTATACATGTCCAGAATGGATTATGAGATCTACATGAAATTTACCACAGATTTAAAACATAGTCTGGAAGAACATATAACCTACTAATTGAGTTTTTGTAATTATATACAAATCACATGTTTTAAAAATGAAACGAAAAACTTGAAACAAAATGTCCGAAAAACATTGTTATTTATATCTATACTTCTATACTAATATTAAAAAGAGGAAACCTTTGTATTTTTGTGTTTTTGTATGTATTGAAATAACTCAAAAACTACTGGGTCGATTTTAAAAACTCTTTCACCATCAGAAAGGTAATTTATCTGTGAGTAACATTGGCTATATTTTTACTAATGTTTAGGAACTATTAATAAACAGCGTGTTTCTGGACGCCAGCGTTAAAAACACAAAACTTTTCTTGGCTTACGCTGCCTAAACCGTCAGAGGGATATAAACCAATAGTAACCAATAGATAGGTACATGTGTTAGGAAATCCCGCTCTTCTGTGTAACAAATTTTGTTGTAATGTATAGATGCACAATCTATACTAAAAAAGTATAGTATCTATACTAATATAGTAATACTAGCTTTCGCCCGCGACTCCGTCAGCGCGGTTAAAAAGAAACAAAAGCAAGTAGCCTATGTGTTCTTCCAGACTATCCTCTCTATCTATGCAAAATATCATCGAGATCTCTTCAGCCGTTTAGACTACAAACTCTAACAAACATCCATCCATCTAAACTTTCGCATTTATAATATAAGTAAGATAGTATAGATGTATATATCTTACTTTCAGCCTGTGAGAGTTCCTTATAGTAAGGCTCTAGGGCCTTGAAGAGTCTGTTCTCATCCACAAATGGCAGCAGCGCGACTCCCTGCCATGCAAACTTCTTGCCGTTCAAGTCAATCTTGAAGTCCGTAGGATAGAAGTCTATGATAGGCGAAAACTGTAACAAATAAAGTTTTTAACTGTAAAAAAATCATAGAGTTATGTTCTGCATTAGAATAGACTAGTATTTTCCATAGACAACTCAACATAGTGTTAGAGGGTAAACCAAGGTCAAAGTGTGTTTGCAGATTTTCAACTAATTTTTGTCTTCATTTGTTTAAATTCAATAAAAAACCTAGTAAGTCGCCTATATGTTTTTTTAAATTATATTCTACAAACTGTGCCAAATTTCATGGGTATCGGTTAAGCCATTTCAGAGATACATAGTAACAAACATCCATCCATCCAAACTTTCGCATTTATAATTAGTATGGAGTACAATTGTCTAGATCTTAGCTAATTACAAACTGGCTGCATTAGAATTAACCGGTGACAAGTAAACAGTACTGTTGGTGATATCAAAGCCACTTTTGACTCACCCCTGGCTTAAAAATGTCAGGAGCAAATTAAATGGAAGTGCGGTCTCTGCCTACCTTTCTGGATTAGTGTCGTGATATATACTCACAGGGTCGCTCATCAGTTTTGCCCAGGGCTGCGGTACATGCGAGGAGCTGGCTGCGGGGAACACGCCCATCAGCTGCTCCAGCGGACGGAACTGCGTACACATTGAGACAGGATTTTAAATAAAATGTAATAAAATAATTATTTAAATTAGGGTTGTAACGGGAATTCCGCTTTCGTTAACCTCCGCTTTTGCAGAGGTGAAGCCCTTCGCCTCCGCATCCGCGTCCGCTTTCGTTCAAATGGACTCCGTTACAAACCTCATGTAAACATATTAAAATGATGAAATAGATACAGTAACATGCAGTTTATTTGCTTTTTTTTTTCTTAAAGAATATGTTTCTTTAATTAAATCACCCATATATTAATAGATTTAACATCATCAACCTACTCTTGTCTACAGAGGGTCGGCAGACTACGTGCTCTTCCATACATTTATATACATATCTCAACCGTCATTTCTGATTTCACTCTTTTAAGCATATCCTCTTTAACACAATCCATCGATACATAACATGCTTCCTTAACCTTTGTAGTTAAATCTTGCACATTTTTCAATATTTAATACATAATAACAGTGGTAGAGCCCGCTTTAACATCTTCGCACGAATTGGCCGGCTCGCTCGGTGTAAGACCACGACCACACAGAAAACAGGCGTGAAGTGGATGCAATTCCGCGTTTCGTCTGATGAGTGTGGTGCCGGACGCCTAATTTTAGTCCCTTTCCCTTTCCACCCTTTTCTTAAGAGAAAGAATGGGAAGGAAAGGTGGATTTGACGGTGGAGGTGACGCATAAAAAGGAGAAATATCCTCTTTATGTGCGTCTCCTCCTCCGCCAATTAAGGGTAGGCAACGCATCTGCAATTGCGGATGTCTATAGGCAGCTGTCGCGTTCCATTTCGGTGGATTCAGGTGGCCGCTTGCTCGTTTGCCACCTTATATTATAAAAAAAACAAATGTCTGTGTATCTCACCGGTTGCGTGCCCCTCTCAAACTTAGTAGAGAGTCCGCAGACGTTGACGAAGTCTGACGCGAAGGGTGCGTAGTGGTAGGGGAAGTACCACTTCCAGCTCGCGCATCCCTGGTAGTAGTAGCGTAGCACCCAGCACAGCCCCCGCACGTACTGCAGCGCCACGCGGTACCTGCATTGTATAACGTAAAATTTCACTATAATTTAATTAGGCTGTAAGTTTTCGTTTTAAAGTAGCCTATAACATTCCCGTATAATTCAGTTATCTTCGAGTAAAATTACATCAAAATCGGTTCAACCGTTCCGGAGATTGCACCGAACAAACATAATTTATTTTTCAATACTAATATTATATAGAGTAATAAATATTTGTATTTTTGTATATATGGAAATAACTCAAAAAGTAATGGACCGATTTCAAAAAATTCTTTCACCATTAAAAAATTAAGTTTTCAGTGAGTAACAAAGGCTATGTTTTTTTTTTTAATGACACGTAGGCGCAATTTCGAGCAACAGCTAGTCGTTAAATAAATCCGTGCATATGCAAAAGAAGTTTTTTTTCTACATTACATATAGACAGCCATAGCTGATACAGACTAGGTCTCAGACGCGAACTTTATTAGTATTTAAAAATATGTCTGACCTGAACTCCATATTTTCTCTGGAGACTTCAAACTTGCTCTCGTAGTAGCGCTCCTTGAAACCATCCTCCCAAAGCCGCACCTCGTCGTGCTTGTCCTCGTCCTCCTCCGCCTCCTCCCCGCCCTCCGCCTGCGCCTCTGCCGCGGACCGCTTACGTCCGCGACGCTCAGACCCCTCTTGCTAACATACATATAATAACTTTCAATACCCCGTAAAATCTGATCTCAAGTTTTCAACAGCCTTTTTTCCATCAGACACTACTAATTCATGGCATCTTTATTACTAAACTAATATAATAAAGAGTAAACACACTACTTTGTGACGTAAGATGTCAGCAATCGCAGCATATTTTTGAATAAAACTTTCTTTAATAAAAAGTCTTACACTTACGACTTGCTTTAGGCTATATATTTCCACGCTGTTAAACTTAGGGGGTAAATAAATAGGAAAAAACCTCCATGTCGAAAAGGGTATGGACCCTAGTTTATGGAAACTACGAGCTGCTACATTAAGGTAGAAGTTTATTTTGGTTACGGTAATTTTGACATTTGCAATTATGACTTTGACAACTGTAAACAATAAAATAAAGCTTTTATATTTTCATGCGGATGAAGTCGCGAAGGAACAGCTAGTATGTTATAAGGTAGAAAGTGAATTTTATTGCGTCACGAAATGTATGTATGTTTCCAACTTCCCTTAGCAAGTCTGGGGTTGTCTTGCAGCACTAGTCTGAAAGGGTCGCGCCCGTTACGAACAGTAAATAACTCTCGATGCTTCCGCACGAACAGATTTCATAAATATAAAGTGCTGGGAGTGGTAGTATACCAAGAGATTTGAACACGGGTCGGCACGATTCTTGTGGGTGCAGACCGCACATTGCTCTAACGCATTTTTTTTGTGCTACAAATGCTCTATTTCGATCAGTTCTGTTTCCCCATATTATTAACCCATATCGCAATATTGACGCAACATATGAATGATAACACATGAGGGATGTTCTTACATTTGCTATGTTTTTTATTTGTTTTAGGGCATACACGTATTTATTTAAGTTTGTATGAGTATTTGTGAAATCGATGTTATCGTTGTCTACTATTATACAAATGATTTTACTTACTATTTTACGTACTTTCTACTAATCTACAATTATACCTCAGAGACAGCGTTCATGCCAGCAATACGGATGTTAGCAGCCTCCTGTCTAGCATTCTGCACTGGCTTCGCTGCAGCACTCAGAGACTGAAAACATCATAGATGTAATTAAACAAAATTCTATTTAACAGTTATTGTTAGCCAATGGCAATAACCTTCAAAGTCTTTTGAGCATTTGAATATTAACATTTGCAATTGAAAACAATATAGTAAAATTTTTATAATTTAATGCAGATAAAGCCGCACAGGAATGAGTGTTACCAATCTTACTAATATTATAAATGCAAAAGTTTGGATGGATGGATGTTTGTTGATGATGTTTGATGAAATTTGTCAAATTGAACATATTCTGTAAAAAAATAGGCTACTCATTTTTTTTTATTCCATGAGAATGCAGTCAGAGGCGGAAGCTAGTATAGCTATTTATAGTAAGTCTCACCATTGGCGCGAACTGCGTCTTCTCCAGCAACTTGAAGTTGACCTGCTGCTGCTTCTTGCGCGCCTTGTCCCTCGCGCGGAACACCAGCTCGTTGTTATGACGCCGCTTGAAGATCTCATCCTCGACGCGGCCCAGCTCATCCATTATCACTTGCACACGCTCCAGGTTCACGTCACCGGAGTCCGTCACCCAGCCCTGGAGAAATATTCATTAAAAAATGAAAAAAATATATTTAAGACAAGAGAAGCTTTAATCAGAACATTGTCCTTGTTGCAGTTAAAATATACTTATTTTCAACAATTATATTTTTGTAGCCTAAAAAGATTAAAAATTATATATAAATAGCAAATAAGTGTCATTGAATAATATTTAAATGTTATTTATTTTATACTAGCTTTCGCTTGCGTCTCCGTCTGCTTGAAATTAAAATATTTGTAAAATATAGCCTGTCAGACACAGATAAATGACCTTTCTAACGGTGAAAGAATTTTTAAAATCAACCCAGTAGTTTTTGAGCCCATTCTTTACAATCAAACAAACAAAGTTTTCCTCTTTATAATACTAGTATAGAAGAAATGGTCAGGCTTATTAAAATTGTCCAATACAAGGACACAAGGTGGTGTACTATACTTGACAACTGATATAGTACCTTTCAGAGAAAGTACCAGTGAAAAATCAAGCTTGGTGAATCAGTAAATGCCTTTTCAAGCAAACAGTGGCCATTCAGTCAAAAAAAAGGTAAAAAAAAATTGTTTAGTCTTGTCTATATTTTTCAAATATCTTTGGTGTAGCCTATTATTCTAACACTGTTATGACGTCATCACATTCACCTAACACTTATATTTACCTTAGTCTTGTAAACACATTTCTTGTACAAATTGACCAATCTATCCACCGCACCCTCTCGTATCTCCAGACTGGGTAAATGGGGTAAGAAGTCATTGCCAACGAAAAAGCACATGAACACCCAATCGTCTAATGCTCTCTCAAAATCATATGGGAACGGCAGGTTTGGCATTTGGAGTTCCTGGAAAAATGTAATTTTTATTATAAAACACAAACCAAAACATAAATGTTTGAAATCTATGTTGAGTTTGGTTAAGAATTTTCGTGGACCACCATTTATAACTTGTGGGTCTACAATTTTGTTACAAGTGATTGTGGACCCTTACCAGACCCTTGTAAGCTCAAGGGGTTTCACCTGGACATTTTTGACAATCACAAATCTTTACTAACATTATAAATGTATTTTTTTTTGCATTTTAGTAGTTTTGTATGTATTGTTAAATGTATTGGATTTAAAAAAAAACCTACCATAAAAAAGCTATGTAACCATTCAGTACAATTGGCTTTTATAATTTTTTTTAATTTTATGCGGACGAGGTCGCGTGCAATAGTTAGTAAATTTTTTTAACTAGTTATACCTTCTCTAAATACTCCCGCAGCACACTCAACCTGACAAATATGAAGTTATCCTGAGTACCGAATGCTGGGTCTGAGCGTACCACTGAAGCATCCGGAGTTGTCCCTGTGCACTCCTTCATCTCATGACCTGCAAATATATAAATTTATATTTTAGCTATGGCAACCAAAATTTTCTATGCTTATAAACCACATACGTACATAAACTTAGATAAGATCGAAAAACATTTAAAAATAACGAGAAAAAATTTGAAAACTAAACTTTTATACTTGACAAAGTACACTATTTAATTGAGAAAACGGATGCTTTAGTTTGAAAGAAGAACTAACATAATGTAATTAAATGTTACACAGCAGTCATTCTAATATAATATAAATTTACAATATTTTTTTTAAACTTACCGAGCTGCCCACAGACATCACAAGGGCGAGGTTTATTTGGCTTGAATTCTTCTCGTATAATGGTGAAGTTTGGCTCATGTGTTGCCAGACCCAACATTATCAGGTCAGCATCAGCACCGCATAACACATGTTGTGTATTAGGGTCATGGTCCGGCTGAGCTGTGAATAGTAATAATTATATCACTAAGGGGCTCGGAGCTTACCCTAAGTGGTGACCAGGCCAGTCTTCACTAGCCTAGTGTGAATTAACTTCAAAAATATCTTTAAATTTAAATTATGCTTATGTTTGCAGGTTGTATCATTATGTTTTCATCATAACAATGTTCGGCAAATATGAAATTTGAAAAGCTAAAAATACATTGTTGGGGATTGAAGTCAAAGGCTAAACCCCCGAGCCACTGCTTCTACTTAAAAGGCTTACTCCATCATCCATCCCAGTTTTAATTATTTTTTTTTTTATTATATTGAAGAAACATATATAAGTAACAGGTACACAAACTACCTCTTTGACGTCTTATGTAGTCCATGATCTTATGCTCTCCCTCTCCTGGAACATTAGCATCTGACAGGATCACTTTGATACTCTTCCATCCAGGGTCATTGTTTAATCTTAACAATAATAAAGTACAATAAGAGTAAGCTTAAAATAAGATAAGCAATGGTTTAAAAAAGAAAAAAAATTGAGATAACATTAACAAAGATATTTTGTACAATACTAACTTTCACCTGTGACTCTATCCTTGTGGAATTAAGAAAGCAAGCCTATGTGTTCTATTTATATCAGTAAGAGGTAAAATTTTGACTAACCTGTCATGTATATAATAATGCAAGCATTTGCTCAGTCTATCCATGAATGGTGTACCAGGAGTGATACAATTTGAGTCAAAGTGAGCCTCTTTGGGCTTCTCTGGAGGCAAATATGCTCCTTTAGCCAGTAACTCTGACCGTACACGGGCTACTTCCTCTATCTTCTCCTGAATCTCCTTAGATGCCCTAAATCTTCTTGATCTTTGCTGGTTCATCTTAGCTCGTGGGGCCTAAAGATTTGAATCAATATATAAAACTAACTTTGACAACTTGTAAAATTTTCAAAGCCGTCAAATAATTATATGACTCGATCTCTCTTTCAAGTTTTGTTGTAAATATATTGACTTTTTGGTCCTGTTTATACTTTTTTATATCAATAACAAGTTGTTGCAACAAAACAATAAAAGAGATGTCTTAGAACAATCTGGTTATGGCTGCATACTTAAGATATTACAAAACAAAATAGTAAGACTTACCACTCCATCAATTGCCATGTACAGTAGTTTCCTGGGCCTCACGATACGAAATAAACGATCAATGCATTCAAAAATAGCCACCATCATCTCATCCTCATCTTTAGGCGCTGGCTTGTCTTCCGGATGCGTACATGGGTGTATTATACCGTTCATATCCAAATACAAGTTATCAAACTCCACTCCATTTGGGTTTGGCAAAGATGAATCTATATGTATCAATTGACCATCAACATCAGTTGGCTGTAAATAAATAAACAAATTATAATTTCAGTCTGAAAATTAAACGACTTTTTAGGTTACGAAAACTTACCCTTTCTTCAACGCATTCCACAATAACGCTTGAGTATTTCCGACTGAGCCAGCGAAAAAACGCTGGTACTCCCATTTTGATTAATGTCTTCTACACTCTTAATTTATCTTTTACTATATTTTAATTTTTGTGGGAAGATGTTTTGTCACGTATTCAACACAAACAAATCATTGAAGTTGCCATTACTTTCAAAGAGTAGCACGATGTTGTCTATTGCATCGGTCAAAGAATAGATATGTAACTTGTTTCTAAATTACACGAAGCGAATTACTTACTTTAATTTACTTATGATCGGAATCGCGGAAATAAGCTAGTAAGTAATATTTTCTTCGTTTAGCGTAAAATTGTCTCATAGTTGTATTTGACTAGTTCTAAAGAGATATTTAACTAGTTGATTTAAATAGTAAGTAGTCTATTGAATTAAAACTTCAAATAAAGCCTTAAAATTTATTATCCATCCATCTTAAAAGAATTTTAAATGCACAACTTTGTTAACGTTTAACTAATGCAACCGTTATATAAGAAAATATTATTCTAACTTATAAGTTAGAACTATGTACTTGTTACGCTAATTTTGCACCTAGCAAAGAAAAACAACAAAAGTGAAAGATTGTCCTTAAAAAGATCAGTTGATAATATTTTGTTGGGCTACTATTTGAATTTCAAAAGTTAGAGTATAGGGAAATTCCAGAATTTTAGCAAAAAAAGATAAAAATAAGTATTAAAACAAAAATGTTTTATTTCTTTGTTTCCAACCTCTTATGCTTGAAGAACTTTCGAGGTCTAGTTTTACCAGGATTCTCCTTCACAGACAAATTCTCCTGAAACTTAAATATTATTTAGTTTTCTAATGAATGCGATATATTTAAAAAGTATAGCGTTCTTTATGTATCCTTAGAGCGCCTTACATACCACATTAATGTTTTTGTTTTTGCTTATTCTTAATACAAATTCACTGTTACTTTAAATCCGTTAGAAAAGATCAGTTCTAATCGTATTTATTTCATCTAGCTCGAAGGACCAAAAAATAAATTTGCTCATACTTGTTGCGTTTGTTGCTCTTCAGTTTGCATGTTGCTGTCGTTTCGATTGTTTCGTTGTTTCAACGAGTCGAGTAACGCACGCGACACTGTCTCGCCGCGAGACAGTGCAGCAAAGCAGCGCTTCACTGTCTTGCCCTATGACAGTAGTCGGAAAACTTATCAGCAAGAGCTAAATATGAATGATACAATTAAAAATGGGAGGCAAATGTACTTTTTTAGCAAACTTTTACTACTTTACACAATATTAGGTAGAAAAAAATTAAATTTTGTCTCTCGTTAAGATGGAATTACATGTTAGAAGTTATTTCCAGAACGATTCAACAGATGTGGATGAAATTTAGCCCAGATTTAGAACATAGCCTGAGAGTTTTTTTGTAAAACTTACTTTACGTAGATTTTCGTCATCGGAGCTATAGTCGGTGAACGCATTAAGTAAGCTATCTGGACTTATAGCTGCTTCGGGTGCGGTTGGTGCGGTGGTCACTGAGGGCGGAATTAACTCCAGCCTTATCCCGGACTTTTCTTTTCTTGTTACTTTCTATTCAAAATAATAAGATTTGCTGTTAGACTAGAATTACGAGTTTATAAATTGATAACCACAGAGTCGTTAAGGGTCCTCTTTTCTAATTTTGTATCAGTAATCTGTACTTAAGGACCCATGAACGACTCTGAGTGCTGCAGTAAAGGCGACCGTGTGAGAGGGTGTCATCATGACAGCGTTATCATCGTGTTCAGGGACATAGCGCTCTTTAGCGGGCGGCCAGCGCCGGCCTGATAGCTCCTTCTGCACATTGTCTAACGTCTGCTGCATATCCTGGATGCTCTGCTGCAGACGACCCTGGATGGATGAAGAGTTATTCATTAATTTATTTCTGTATAGATCATGAAGCGTACATCAGCTATCACTAGGAGGATCTAGATTGCACTTTTTGGAATGGATGTTTTTTTTTATTACATAATTTTATTTTAGTATAAAGTTCCCTACCTTTTCATTCCTTAATTCCAGAATCATGGTCAAGTTCTGTGTAAGTTCAGCCTCTTTGTTCTGAAAACGGCATATATTATAAAACAAATATATTATCAACTCGCAATTTCGTGCATGTAGAACTAAAAAAATGGAAAAAAGAAATATGGCCTATGTTACTCAATGATAACGTAGCATTTATTGGTGAAATAATTTACGAAATTGGAACAGTAGTTTTTGATGTAGTTATTTAATAATAATACAAAAAACCAAAAATACAAAAATACAAATAGATTAGTATAGGATATAGAAGTATAAATGGAAGACTAGGTTTAATGAACGAAAAATTAAAACGGACTCACTCGAACGCTATCTTGAAGCTTTTTAATATCTCTTTCCGATTTCTCTTCCCTTTCTTTCACAGCGTCTCTTTCTAATTCCATCTCTTTCTTAAACGTGGCCAGTGTATTCTCTAGATTCAATTTCTCTTCTGTAGTTGTTTTCACTTCAGATATCAGACTATCAATTTCAGCCTGTAATTCTTTTTCCTTATTTTGAAGTTGAATCTCTAAATCTTTATGCTTTAGTTCAGTCATTTCCCTACAATTTTTTAGACATTATAAATCTGAATCTGAAATTAGATATTTTTATTGCTTTATATTTAAGATGATAAAATCACTTACTTGTAAGACTTGGCGTTATTTTCAATTTCCAGGATGTTTTCCTCGAGTAGTTTATTTTCGGTTACCATTTGAGCAATTTTTTCATCGGAATCTCTCTTAGTTTGTTGCAATTCATCGTCTATTTCAGATTTTTCTTTTTCCATTAAGTTTATTTGCATTTGAAGATCTTGCTCTTTCTTCTTCATATTAGTCAATTCCTGTTAATATTTGGGTGTATAAAGATTCTTATCTATTGTAAGTAACATATGGAATTTAGTTTCAAATATCTGGATTGTATTGTAATTATTCTTACTTGGATATATTCAAATATTTCCTTCTTCAAATCGTTATTTTCATTTGTTGCCTTTTCCAAATTCTCTTCTACATTTACTTTGGCGCTGTTTGTATCCTGTAAGAAAATACTCAAGCCCGCTATATTCGTTCGGTTAAAACTGCAAGTATTATATCTAAGGTTGCGACCGTTACTTGTACCTTTTACATTCAACGTCTTTAAAATGTCCAACAATAACTGTATATTTGCTCGAAATTAAATGCTAAGGGCCTGTCCCACTACTGGCTGATAGAAGCTGAGATAGCTTAAAAATGACGTCACTATCAGATAAGGAAACAAAATCCGATATTTCCATCACATATTTTGCACGTTGGATTGTTATCAGACATTTTACAATTTGGCGGGTAAGGCCTTCATAGGTTTAAACATCTGGCTGATAATAGCCATCATGTCTGAAATAATTTTCTTTTACGCAATCTTTTAAAAGAAAGTATAAATATACTTTCTTCCATCATCTTGCACCTTTGTATCCATGCAAGAGACCTAGATCTACACGTATTCTTTCTTCATATACTTTACCTGCAGCTGTATCTTGAGTGTCTCCATAGCGGTAACCAGGCGGTGCTGCTCCTCCTCCAGCTCAGCCACCTTCTCCTGCATTGCATTCCTCTCATCACTCACGCTCTTTATGAACTGCTCTTGGTTCAGCACAACTTGCTTCAGAGATTGAACCGCATCTATTGTTTCTTGGATCCTGGAACAGTACTTACCAATAGCTGCAGGCATCAAAAGAAATATTCGTTTTAAGATACCTAGAAATCCCAGGATCTGCAATTTTAGACCAGCAACTGCCAATAAACTAGTCAAAAATGGACAAAACCGGACCCACTCCTAAGACTCCGTAAAAAAGGTATTAAACGAACAGGGACTCACTCTTTATCTTTCTGTGCGAGGGATTTGTTCGCGTTGCAGATCTGAGTATTGTATTCATCAGCGAGTTTCTTCATTTCTCGTTGGAAATGATTAATCATATCGTCTTTCTGTAATAGATTGTATATTTTACTGGGTAAAGCGTATATCTATCTAAATCTAAAACTAGTTGACTTACCAGAATTGGTAAGTAGTGACAAAATTCAAGATCAAGAATGTTGAAGAAGTTGAAGAAAGTATTTACTCTGCAGTTTTTTTTTTTACAGATACCTAATCTGTGATTATTATTGTATTACGCGTCTAAACTTCCAAAGCCAACATCCTTACCCTTTCTATATCATGTTTATGCTTGTCTAGTTCCCTGTTGCTGTCGCCTAGCGCGGTGAGCAGGTCATTATGGCGGACCTGCGCGGCCACAAGCTGCGCGCGCGCTTCTCCCAGCTCGCCGTCTACCTGCTGCTTCGCGCTTGTCAGGAATTCAACCATCTTGCTAAAGTGGTTGCTTGACAGCGACACTATACAGACTCTTATTTTCATTTTTGTAGTCGCTTTTTTAAAAATTTTAATGGTTTCAGTAAACTGATTCTCATATTGTGAATCCCGACTTCCATAATGCCTTATATAAGGCAAAATTTTCAGGTTTATACCTATTTTTTTTTCTTGCGATAGCAATAGCGATAGCAAAACCTATGATCTCCCAAGTATGGCGTTGACGATGATAGGATATATAGTTGGGGTTCACAATATGGGGAACAGTCTTCAAAGAAGTCCGAACAAGTTTCAAACCTTTCTCTTGTAGGCTCTCGACCTGGTGTTTAATCTTCTCATCCTGCTGCAGCTGCTTGTGGCGCATCTCGCGCAACTGTTCCGCGGACTTGTTAAAGGCGGTGTGAAGCGTGGCGCCGTCCGCCTTGCAGCGCGACAGCGTCTCCCGCAGCCGCTCGCTTGACTCTTGCAGCACGTCGCAGATCTTACGAGTGGTGGACAATCTGAACAACCACGGTATATTACACTTAGAAGACAAATCTAAGGGGCAATATTCCCATATGTGATGAAATAAATCGACGTTGCTGATTTTGAAGCATTTTCTATCAATAAAAATTACTTGTTAAGTATCTCAGGGCGTTTTCTCATCTCTTCCTGATACTTAGCGTTGGCGGCTTCATGCTGCATCTGCACAGCGGCCATGTTCTGCTGCAGCCGCTCATGATTGTCTTGCAATTGCTGCAACTTTTCTTTTAAGTCCCAGTACGCGGTGTCTTGAGCTACCTGTACCATGGATCACCATTGGATGACAAAGAATATGACTCCATTTTCCACAAAAAAAAGAAAGTAAAATCACTAAAATAAATTTGAAAGATCCTTTTTTTGCTTAAACGACAAATTAACAAAATAGGAAATTATGGACTAAATATTAATAGTGATAAAGTTGTACTTGTAGTTAATGGTTTTCGTACAATTGTTTCGGTAGTGGAAATTCGCAGATAAACGGAACAATCACCTTTAACTTTATAATATTTTCCCTTTCTTTAGTTACTTTCTCTCGTAACTTTTCTGCATCCGTAGCTAATCCTTTTTTATTTGCAAACTTTGTAATATCACTAATATCCATTTTTGTGATTTATCGATGTTTTAGAAACTAACAGTCGTTAAAAGTGGCGCAATACTTTGAATTAAAAATGGCGGGATTTTATTTATAGTTCTTTTTTATTTAAAATACTTTGCCGTTTAAACTTTTATGGCCAGATTCAAATAAAAAAAAAACAAGAGAAATTATTCAAGGCAGTCAAAGTATTTGTTTAGTTATACAAGATAGTACAATTTAAAGATGTTCATAATAATAAGAAACAAGATAACTATTTCAACGGTTTTTAACTATTTTACGGCCTCCATTTATAATTTAAAATTGTATTTAATCTTTGCCTGGATTGAAAATGAAACATTTGACTTGCATATGACATTGACATATTGATTGACAGATAAAAAGTTTTGTTTACATAATAATATGACAAAATGAGATATTGCATTTTTAATTGTTATAGAAAGTTAATTAAAAATGTCCCCTCACGAAAGTATACAACTAATTCTGATTATCAGACGAAAATTGAAAAGATCAGGAATATCGGAATATTAGCACATATAGATGCAGGTTAGGAAAATAACCTATGTTTTTTGTTTCAATCGTAAAATAATAGATATAACTTTTTAAAAGCCGTCGGAAAAATAAAAATAAATCGCTCAGAATCATATTTAATTAATTGTTTACTGATTTCATTTATTTGTTGTATTAATTTAATTTATGGAACGAAGGCAAAACAACAACAACGGAACGTATGCTGTACTATTCCGGGACTATACGATCTATGGGCGAAGTACATCATGGTAACACGGTCACCGACTACATGGAGCAGGAGAGACAACGAGGAATTACAATCACATGTAAGATAAAACAGTTATGACTTACACTGCTGTTTTTTTTTAATACAAGCCCACTCACACGCTTTTGTTTGTTTAACAGCGGCTGCGGTATCCTTCCCTTGGCATGGTACACAAATCAACTTGATTGATACTCCAGGGCATATTGACTTCACTATGGAGGTGGAACAGAGTCTCGCTGTGCTTGACGGTGCTGTCATTGTCTTGGATGCTTCAGCTGGTAATACATATACATCTATACTAATATTATAAAGAGGAATGACTTGTATTTTTGGATGTATTAAAATAACTCAAAAACTACCGGACCAATTTCAAAAATTCTTTCACCATTAAAAAGTTAAATTATTAGTGAGTAACATTGGCTATATTTTTTATTTCATGCAGCATAGTCACAAGCAAGAGATAGCTAGCAATAAAACTTATTAATTGATATTCAAAATTAATACAGATTTTAATATTTTAATGTGATTTAACTAAACGGATAAATGATACTGGGTCAATGTGCTTAAGTTTAATTAAAAAATATGCTGGGAAATGTAGATTTTTTAATTATGATAAACATGATATGAACATATCGGCACCTAAAGTTAAACGAATCCTCAATGACCGTTTTTTCAATATGCGATAGTGAGTGGAAGGTGATCTTTATCTTCATGTAAGTGTAGTATGATACAATTTACAAGGACTGAATTTCATTATAATATATACTTGTGACTATCTGCGATAACTTGTAATTGGCCTTCATTTTTTTGTTTCTTTTATTATTATTTTTTTTAGCTAGCTGTAAGTTATCCGTAAATAAATAAAATAAAAATAAAAAAATGATTGTAAAAAATGAAGTCTTTACACTTTTGTATTCAAAAAGAACTCTCTAATTAGTTAGTAGTAGGAGTTATGGATTTCACAACTCTTTATTCCATCCAAAGAATTCTCTAACTGATCATTCGATAGTGAAAGACTTTTGTAATATGACTGTTCTACATCTTGGGAAGGGGGGTGGCTGAAAACCAGCTCAACACTGGATCTCAACCAGTATTGGTTAAGCTGAGCCTCCCCTTCGTGCCATCTGTTATAATTTTTTCATGTATGTTTTTTATTTTGTACAACTCTGTGTATTCTTGGATGGCAATAAAGAGGTTTTTATTTATTTATTTATTTATTATTTATATAACTTTTTAAACAATATCAAAGTTTTGTTGTATTTCCAGGTGTGGAGGCCCAAACATTGACGGTGTGGCGACAGGCGAGTGGTTACCGAGTCCCTCGTATACTCTACCTGAATAAAATGGACAGGAATGATGCAGATGTGAACAGCTGTATTAGATCTGTGCGCGAGAAGCTACAAGCTACACCCCTCATGATACATGCACCTGTCACTAAGGAGGGAAAACTTATTGGTACTATTCAGAGCTACTTTTTTATAGTGTATGATGACAAAAAAACAAGGGGCTATCAAAATTTTATGGATCGGATGAAGTTAGCAGTGAATCCCCTAAAAGGGGGTCGCCAACCAATGGGGGGATTCAAGAGGCATCTAACCAAGGCAAAGACAATGGGCAGGTAGCGGGTAGAGCTGAAAGGATGGGGCTAGTAGTTAAAATTCCAAAGAAAATGCTTAGTGAACAAAATACCAAGGGAACTACAGATGTTTGCCCCTTTAAGGAAGGTTTATGTATCTTGTGTCAATAGAGCTTTAGTTAAGCTTTTTATTTTATTTTTCAGGTCTCATTGATTTAGTTACTTGCGAAGAAATTGTATGGACTCAAGGACGGGGACAGAATTACATTCGACGTAAACTTACAGAGAAAGAAGATGGGAAAAATTGGGAAAAAATAATGAATAGCCATAGACAACTGATAGATACTCTCTCCTCATTGGATGATCAGTTAGCAGAGACAATAATACAACAGGATTCATTGGACAATATTGAAATACCACAGATTAATGAAGCTATTAGACGGTGCACGCTAAAAATGATTGGATTTCCTTTATTATGTGGGAGTTCTTACAAAAACATTGGTGTTCAGACTTTGATGGATTCCATAGTTTCTTATTTACCATCACCTTTGGAATGCAATAGAATTTACAAGAGTTTTGGTTCAGAATTAGCCGCTAGGGCCTTCAAAGTGCAGCATGATGACCAAAGAGGTGTGTTAACATTCCTAAGGCTGTATAGTGGTGAGATTGAAAAGGGACAGAAGATATACAACCTGGCACGAGAGAAGAGTGAACAGGTCAGTATAGTAAAATACAGTCAAAACTGTTAAGGAATGAAAATGACTATACATGATTACACACTTAACCTATAGCTATATTTTTCACGTCAGTTAAGTCGTGTTTTATAATGAACATACTTTTTAGTATGTTTTGTTAGAGATTTTCTCTCACGAAAGTTTGAATACGTTAATTACCATATTGTTTTTATTTCTTTATTGGTATAATACCAACCTTAAGAAAACAATCGCCTCTCTATATTTTTTTAATCTATGGAAACTAGTTAAAAACTGTTATGTGATTAAGAGTGAATGAAAATAATAAAGTTGACCAGACAGGATCGCTGTACGTGGCGCTGGCGGACGAGTACCGGCCAGTGGACAAGGTGACTGCGGGGAACATTGCTGTTGTTAGTTCTCTTAAGGTCAGTCTCCTATTTGTAGTTTAAAATAACCTATAAGAATTATTTATTTAAAACAAAAAAAAATAGATGTAAAGAATAGGTACTTGTTTAACAATTTCTTGCGTGTGATGCAAAATCTTACTAATACTAGCTGTTCCCGTGCGGCTTCATCCACATGTAATTATGAAAATTTTATTTTATTGTTTACATTTGTCAAATTATCAATAGCAAATGTCAAAATGACATGACATGACAAACCTTGGCAATCTTGCTTCCTTGATGTTGGCAGCAACTTATGCTCTCTTTCCCACATTAGGGCTTTTATACAAAATATTTACCCCCTAAGTTTAAAGGCGTGAAAATATATAGTTTAAAGCGTGACGCGAGAGTAGGGCTTTTTATTTTAAAAAGTATTATTTAAAAATATGCTGTGATTGCTGACATATTAGGTAACAAAGAAGTGTGTGTTTACGCTTAATTACGCGTAATAACGTAAAGCTTATTGGAAGGACATAGGGTACTCACGTTTTTTTTATCCCACGCGGACACAGTCGCAGGCGAAAGCTAGTCTATTATAAATAGTTACCCCTAAACATAGCTCCCAGCCCCTGAGTGGGGACATATAGTGAGGTGATGATGCTTACGCTATCCTGGGCATATATTATAGACAACGATGACCGGAGACCTGGTAACATCAACGCAGTCGTCCGCCAAGCGCGCGCGCAGTCAGCTGGCGCGCTGGCTGCAGGAGCCAGGGGCTGAGGAGCTGATGCTGCCCAGCGCACGCCAGCGTCTGCAGACCTTCGATACTCAACCCAGTAATGAGGAACTCGCTGAAGTGTTGCTCGGAATAGGTAATATGTTGGTCTTAATTGATTCCAGTTTTTCTACATAAAGGTTTAGGAATTGATAATGGTATCAGAAGGTGGCAAGCAGACACCTGAATTCGCCGAAATAGCGAAGAGATAGGTATCCGCAATTGACGGTAGTGGGGATATACCACAAGTAGATATTCCCCTCCCGCCATTCCCCTACTCCACCAAATCTTCATCATCATTTTTAAAGGGAAAAAGATGGGAAAAGGGGACCCTTCCATCAGAGAAAATTTGGAAGATCTTTAATTTGATGCCTGTCATAGTCTCGAGGGGCTCGGAGTCTATCCTAACTTAGGCCTCCAAGCTCCTCAATGGAGACGAATAGTAAGCTGGTGATCATGATGTGTTCTCCAGGTACGACAGTCCCCGAGCCAGTATTCCTTTGCTGCATCGAGCCGCCCAGCGCGGCGCAGCAGAGCGCGCTGGAGGTGGCGCTGGCGGAGCTGCAACGAGAGGACCCCAGCCTGAGAGTGTCCACGCACGAGGATACTGGACAGCTGGTGCTCGCTGGTATCTCTCTCTTATTATTACCGTCTCTCTCTCTCTCTCTCTCTCTCTCACATGCAGTCTTTCTCACTGTATCTTTTTATATTTGTAGAATTTACAAGCCTTTTATAAAATGACTGGATTGCATTTAAATTCTTATTCCTGTATAACATGTAGGTATGGGGGAGCTTCATTTGGAGATAATAAAGGAGCGCATCATCAGGGAGTACAAGATAGATGTGGAGTTGGGTGCGCTGCAGATCGCGTACCGCGAGCAGCTGCTGGGAGGAGCCAGGTCCTCGCTGGAGGTAGACCGGAAGATCGGCAGCGCGCGACAGGCTGTCAAGATCACCATGTCCGCTAACACTGTGAAAGGAATCTCCCAGGATAAGATTCTCAAGTAAATAACTTTAAATTTAGGTTGCACGCGGACGAAGTCACGGGCAAAAGGTTATACAATTAAAATTGGAGTATCTGTATGTGTTTGTATTGCTTACTAGCTGTTGCTCCCGACATCGTCCTCGTAGAAATTAAAAGTAAAAAAAGATAGCCCTCACTGATAACGTAGTTTTATAATTAAAGAATCTTTGAAATAGTAAAGTAGTTTTTGAGCTATTTCAATACATTCATACATAAATACAAATTTTTATTAATATAGATAACGAAAATTATTATTTTTAAAATGTTTGTTACGGGTAATCTCCGAAACGTCTGGTCCGATTTTAACAGGACTTTTACTAGATGATAGCTGATTGACGGAGGAATGTTATAGGGTATTTTTTATTTTTATACAGACGAAGTCTTGAGCGACAGCCAGTTTTATTGTTATTTGTTTAGATTGGACAGGAGCGGCGAGAGCGCGGCCAACCTGTCTCACATCCACCCGCGCACGCTGGCCGCGCTGCAGCTGGCCGTGCGCGCCGCGCTGCAGCACGGGCCCAAGCTCGGCTGTCCTGTCAGTATACTATAACTGTTCTCGTCCTGTTCAGTATAAAATTATTTTATTGTTTACATGTGTCAAATCAATAGCAAATGTCAAAATGACATCACATGACAAAACTTGGCAATCTTGCTTCCTTGATGTTGGCAGCAACTTATGCTCTCTTTCCCACGTTAGGGTTTTTATCCATATTATTTACCCCCTAAGTTTAATGGCGTTAAAATATATAACCTAAAGCGTGACCTAAGTGTGAGGCTTTTTATTAAAAAAAGAATTATTCAAAAATATGCTGTAATTGCTGACATCTTAGGCAATAAAGAAATGTGTGTTTACGCTTTATTACAACAGTATAGATAAAATAATATGTTTCTGGGAATAAAAGCGTTTTAAACCATTAAATTGTATATTGCAGCTGGTGGACGTGCAGGTGACGCTGCACTGGCTGGAGCTGGGGCGCGGCACCTCCGACTCCGCGCTCGGCGCCGCCGCCGTGCAGTGCCTGCGCAAGGTCTCCTGCTCTCAACACCTCTACACACTCTCTACTAACTCTCTAACACCTAAGCCTATGACGTCACCATACAAGGCTTTATTATTCATTTCATAGCAAAATATATAACTAGCTTTTGTACGCGATTCCGCCCGCCTGGTGTTAAATAAAACAAAACCAAGTAGCCTATGTGTTCTTCCAGACTATCCTCTACATCCATGCCAAATTTCATAGAAATCCGTTTATCCTTTTAGGCTACAAACTCCAACAAACATCCATCCATCCATCTAAACATTCGCATTTATTTAGTATGAATGCAGGAGCGTCGGTGGCTCAGTGGTTTAAGCACTTGACTTGTAATCTACAGGTCTTGAGTTCGAATCCCGCCGTACCAATGTAATTTTCAATTTTTCGAATTTTCATATGTACATAATTTACCCAAAATTCTTACGGGGAAGGAAAACATCGTGATGCAACATATCGGTGAAGAAATTCAAAGATATGTGTGAAGTCAACCCGCAGTGCAGCGTGTTGACTATGACCTAGTCACCCCTTATTAAGGGTAGGCTCCGAGCCCGTCTGTGGGGTCGTATAGTGAGCTGGTAAAGAATGAATGCAAGGTTTTAATATTAAGCGTCATCCAAATGTAATTGTTAAGCATTATATTCAAGCAGTTAGTGGTTGCAGGTTTTCGAGGAGGCGGGGTCGGCAGTGCTGGAACCGATGATGTCGCTGCAGGTGGTGGTGCCGGAGAGCCACTCAGCGCGCGTCACGGCAGACCTGGCGCGTCGCCGTGCTGACCTGCACCATGTCCACACCAGGCAGGGTAACAAGGTACTCTAAGTGCACCTCGGAGTCTAGACCCCTTAGTGTAGATTTTCATATACATAGACATTCGGATTTTCAACATTTTTCAAACATTCAATTGACCATTTATGATTTTTTTTTAATTTACGTTAAAATTCTTTCACTGTTTCTTAACAAACAGCGTTTTGTTGTTTGTTATGAAAATCCGCGGGGACTGCCACGGGCAACTGCTAATAATATTTCTTGTACCAACTGCAATATTTGTATTGTTAAGGTGATAGAATGTGTGGCGCCACTATCGGAGCTGCTGGGGTACTCCGGGGCGCTGCGGTCGCTGAGCTCGGGGCTGGCCAGCTTCAGCATGGAGCTGCGCGCGCACCGCCGCATGCAGCCGCAAGACGAGCACAAAGCGCACAAGCACGTCACTGGCTTTTAACATGCAAGCTTCGCCTACTACAAATATAGATGGCGCTTTTGTAAAAAATTTTTTTTCATGGAGTCATACATAGATGGCGCTATAAAGAAATTATAAATTATGCTAGTTATAAATAAAACAAATAATGCTAGTGAACAATTTATTAAACGGATATGTACATTTTAAGTCTCATAGTTATTTATTTGTAAATATATTTATTATCAATCAGACATTTTTTATTTCATAGCCATTTCCTGGAACAAAAAAAAACTTTGTACATACAGGAAGTGAACAGCGCCTTCAGACAAAGTGACTTACGACTGACGATAGCATCAATGTTCACATCTTACTAATATTATAAATGCGAAAGTTTAGATAGATGGATATATGTTTGTTAGAGTTTGTAGCCTAAACGGCTGAACAGATCTCGATGAAATTTGGCATAGACGTATAGGATAGTCTGGAAGAGCACATAGGCTACTCACTTTTTGTTTTCAATTCCACGCAGACGGAGTCGCGGGCAAAAGCTAGTACACTATAAACATCAGTAACACAAAGAGCAACGTACACCGAACAAGTTGCGTAGCTCGTCGAGCAGCGTCTCATGTCTGTAGGCGACGCGCACGTTGGGCACGTTGGTGCGCGTGATGTCGTTGCCCGCCGCACCCGACCGCTGGTACTGGTCGCCCACCCAGCGCTGCTTCATCTACACAAATGAATAAATGATGACCTAATAGGCTTCAAACAGGGGTACGCTGAAGGAAAAAGATGCCTTTTAGGTTACTGTGGTCCATTAATCTTACTAATATTATAAATGCGAAACTTTAGATGGATGGATGGATGGATGGATGTTTGTTAGCGTTTGTAGCCTAAACGGCTGAACGGATCTCTTTACGGCTACTTTTTATCCCGGGAATAGTTACAATTCCCGTGGGAATCCCTAATTTATTATGTTATAAGCGTCGCTAGCCGACAATCAATAGGTCTAGGAGGCAGGTACTATTATGGTCTTCTTCGAAATATTTTTTATCTCCCTTTTATATATTTCTATCCACTTATGTGCAACCACTGACGACGGCCGTGTACCAAGTCTTCTTGGGTAAAATAAATAAAATGTACCATCTAAATACAATTTTATGTATCACAATAAATTAAACATGAACCAAGTTGGCAAAAAGACATCATAACATAGTAACCTCGTGCGGAAAGCCGGACATAAGAACGGAGTTCCTCGCAAGCTCACACATATCACAGGAGCTCAGCTTCCACGCCTGCGCTGCGATGCTGTACTCCTCGATGAGCGGCTCCTGTTAATATTTAGTGCGTTACAAAGTTGCATTCTTAATCCACGAATTACTCTTCCTATCTCCCGCCTTACTTTTGTGAAATGGAACTGTAAAGGGTCATCAGTGCTGAGCGTGACTGGCAGCCCGCGCGCGAAGAACTCGGGCAGCGGGTTGCGATGGTAACGGAGGAAGAGGGAGTTGTTGCTGAGAGGAGACATCGCGATCGCGATCTGAGCTAAGTAGTACAGGTACTGCATAACTGGGAACTGCACACAGATTAAAAATAAAATTGCTAAACGTATGCTTACAGAAAATCAAAACAATCATAACCTCAAAATCTATCTATTTGTAAATTAGGGTTACTTTAATGACTTTTCGTAACTTCGTTTAAAATCAAAGGCATATTAGTTAGTTAGTTAAGACTTAATGAAATGTCTAAATGGAAAAATGACTACCGAACCTTCCTAAGTATAAGTCCATGTGAGATGTTCTCAGCGAGCAGGAAGGCGGCTGCTAGATGTGCAACGGGCCCCGCCTCGCCGCAGTGAGGACGCAGCACAAAAGTGTTCAAACCCTGCTCCCTATACAATAAACATAAATATTAACTTCTGGTGTAAGCGAATGATCTTTAGATATCTATATCAACGTGTACTCTACGTACTATCGGGGAATCTGGCGATGATCCATCTGAAAAACTACGATCGTTTTGTACGCATTTAACTGTATCTGTACGAAAATTATCAATTAGTGGTAAAACGGTTAATAGCTTTTTAATGTTATCCCGCTATTTGCGCAACTCTCTGCTATGTATTTGGTGATTTTTAAAAAGAGGCGGAATTTGAGATTATTCCCAACCGTCACACCGCTTTGTCTCCACATGGAGACAGATGAAAATAAAAAGTTTCATCCGTCCCACCTTTTGCAACGAGAGGACAGTTGGGACTTATTTCATTTCATAACGTTACCACCTGTCACCTTATTGGTGACTTGATTCTCACGTGGGGACAAAGTGGGGCGACGGTTGGGAATAATCCGGAATTTGTCTCGTTGCAAGAAACAAGGCATTTTTTCTGTAAATAGAACACCGCGAAGGGTAACTGTACCTTGTTTATAAATTCTAATAGCATAGTGTAAGTGTCGTACCTGCGTATATGGTTGAGCACAGTCATGTTGGCGTACAAATAGTAGAGGTAGTAGGCGTATGGCGGGTTCACCTCTTCGCACCACTCCATAGGCCGCTTCATGCTCTCCTGTGGATGAGGGTTTTCCGGCTTCGACTCGTCGTCCACGCTGTCGAAACCTATCACTTGCTGCAACGTTACAATTGTCTCAACCTTACCTTCTACTCAAATATTGCTAACAACTTATGCAAAATTAGCGTTGAATTTAATAATTCCCAAAAATATCCGTAGAATTGGACACTTTTTTTTACAAAAGGCAATTATATAATATGTAGTTACCGTGAGAAACTGGTGCAGCTCAAGGTTGGAGCTGGGGTTGATGGACACCTCGAACAGCGGCTCGAACAAGTTGCTGAGAAACTCCTGGTAGTTCTTTAGAAGTTTCTTGTTACGGTAGATGTCGCTGGAGGCAAAAATGTGTAAGAACTAACGAATTGTTTTTTTTTAGCTCAGATTAGATTCTGAGTATGTAACTGGTGTAGTGTTTAACTAGTAGTGAGTTAAGGTAGTACTAACTATAGACGCGGCACCTGCACCAGCCAGCGCACATGCGGCGAGCGCACGCCGTACCTCAGCGCCCACGATGCGAGCCGCGCCCACTCGTCTATCTTCTTGCAGTAGATCGACAGCCGGGGCTCAGCGTACGTGTACTTGTTCTCCGACAGCTCGCCTATGACCTCCTACAAACGTACAAAATAGAGACACAATATGTCCCAACTTGTCTGGACTTCTAAATAAAAAAAATAGTTGAATCACCTTTATTATGCTAGCGAAATACAAGCCGTTTATATGGTTGTCAGTCTTGAGAAAGACTTCGCGCAGCCTGCTCTGACCTATCGGGTTATACTTGGCATTGAACTTGTCGAAGCGGTGGAACGTATTGCGGTCCTGGACAATAAATTAGCCGTGAGTAAAGATTATAATTACATGGGAGATATAATAATTAAATAAACAAGTGTACCGCGTGGACGTCTAGCAGATCGACGTTAAGGTCGTGCGCGTTGAGGCGCAAATCTTCGAAAACTGACTTAAGAGTGCTCGTGCCAGACTTCGACACTAACTCTGCCGGCCGCTGTCGTAGCGCGCGCTTCATAAAACGCAACAAGTGTTTCTGGTTCATGCATGACGCCGCGTGGATATGAGTGTCCACTTTCCTAGATATACATTCTCATGTAATGAATTCGAAAGATACAACATTGCCAGGAATAGCAAAGTGTGACGCGGTGTGATGCAGGCACCTAATATTGTAGAAGTCCCTGTGGGGCACGGCCTTCTGTAGCGCCAACTCGTGAATTTCGTTGAGCAACACGTGCATTTTGAACTTGGAGAACAGGTAGCTTAGGCGCCGGAAACAGAACGATGACCTGTGATGGAACATAATTACAAGTTGATATTTTTTTTTTATTAAAGTATAAACTAGTACTTGACCACGATCCCATCTGATGGTAAAAAGTAAGTAATAAGTAAGACAAAGCGCAGCAAATAAAACCTGCGATTCCCAAGACATTACAATATTTCTTTAACGAAAGGTAAACAACTAAAGCTAGATAATAGAAGAGAAGATAAAAAAATAACTACAACGAACTCACAGAGGGCCATCTGTAATCATCCTGCTGAGCTTAGCCATGTCTTCTACATACTTAGAGAAGGAGACGCACTCGTAGGGCAGCGGCTGTAAAAGCTCCGCGTCCTTCTCGTTGCGAAACACTTGCACCACACCTTCGCACCAACGGAACACGTAATGCTTGTCGGCAGGTGTGAAGCACGCCCATGAATCCATATCCTCTGGACAATATAAAGTGAAAACATATAGTTAGACGCTTTCGTTAACGTTATAACCTAAGTGTGTGTGTGTCTGTAACAAAAACGTCAGTTACTGGGTCAGTAGTACACGGGTAACTGTTTTTCATTATCCCGTCGTTCCTATCATTTCTAATTGGTAATTTCTAAGAAGAGGCAGAGTTTGTCACGTTGAACTGGGCAATTTTCTGTAAGTATAACACTGCGGACATCCGTGACTGTACATACGCACGAGAACACACTAAGTAAGATGCCAATATGTTAAAGACCTTCCGTGGGTACTTTTTCATGGCTCTCGCTGGATCTGCTGTGTTCAGGAGACTTGAGGTTTTCTTCATTTTCCATCTCGTCGATCACTGGCACTGGGAATAATATAATAATGTATTTCCATACATATCGCATATGTACAAGCATGTCTCAAGTGTTACTTACTTCCTGAGTTGGACCAATTGTGGGCCATGCGGGACTGGACATTGAACGGGAACGATAAATCTTCAGTGTTATCATCATTATTAACACTCGCTTCGGCAGCGTCGTCTAAAGTAAAAAATGAATCAATTCTATCTGTTTTTCACTGTTTGTTTGTGGAAATCCACAGTGTACCGATTCTGGACAATTGCAACGAGACAATCTCCGCCTCTTCCTACAAATAACTAATTACACAGCAGTGAGTGGTGCAGAAGTGATAACAAAAAAGAAACTAGTTAGTATTGATTTTTGTTTCGCGTCTTGTTTCAAAATGTTAAAAAGATTATAGCTTTTGGACTGGAACACCGCGAGTTTCACCCACTGTACATGTTGCCAGAAACTTAAAAAAAACTAATTAATTTTGAGAGATAATTAAAAGTTACTTCTATTAAATATCCTTACAATCCCATTCCTTGAGTATTTTACTAAAGTTCATAGAAACGTGGTAGCGGGGCGCGTTGGTGTCGACGGTTGCAAGTACGTGTCCAAGGTCAGGCTGGAACGATTGCCCAGCCAGCGCCATGTAATGCCGACGTAAGTTCAGGGCCTCCGTCAAGAGCAACGCTGACCGTTCCAGGTCTTCCAAAGGGACCTGAGATATAGACTTATTTACTACAGTATTGATAAACATGTAAGAAATTAGATATAGGTTTTCGCGTAACTTTCTTGCAGTCACGTTATGGAATACTCTATCCTCGGCGGTATTTTCAAATAGTTTCGTCTTAAGGGCCCTTAAGAAAAGTGCACTGTACCTCTGGTGTTAAGTGAGGACGCGATTCGATGCTTGTTTAGACCCTTCTGGTGGTGAAATGTAAAATACTAACGCCACTGGTGTGCATGCCGTGTACAGAGACGCGCTGGAAGGCAACATTGGGCTGGTTGTCGCCCGGCATGGGCCCCGACTGCGGCGGCGGCGCCGGCATGCCCGTGAAACGAATGCGACTCCGCCCCTCTCGATTATCTCTGAACGAATAACTCAGTTGCAGTTGTAACTAGTTGCGAATTAAAGAATACTCATAGCCTGAATATTGGAAAATAAACAAAATTAACCAATTTAACTACAACTCAATCTATACCAGTCAAGAACTTAAAATCTATTGCACAGTTTATATAAATCCAGTGAAGTCATGGAATACAAGGTGGAATTTAAACTGGAATCGTAAACCTGCACTGGAAACCACAAAGTTTAATGCAGTGTATTTGTTAGGCATTAAACTGGATCGAAGTGGAAAATGCATGCGAAAGGACGACGGGGTTCACACTTGGTTAATACACCGTTGGACCGTTGCGACAGTCATAAATTGTATATACTGGTGTCACTGAGTGTTCACACTATGCCAGTTGATTGTCAGTCCAGTTATTGAACTCTACTGACCAACTGTACTGCCCAATTGTGAACAGCGTATTAGACAAAGGCCCACTATGGGTCAATGGGCGTCTCTGGTAAGTATTCACCGGATAAAGGCAGCTTCCCATTGCTTACTACTCAACTATATGACGCCTACTGCTGGAAAAAGGCGTTCCCCAAAGATCGCCACGAGATAGGTCCTATGCCTCTCGCATCTAGGATACTGCCGAAACCTAGATGTCATTCCTATTGTTGCATAGTTATATTTTATTCTCAAACATTTTTATAACTCACATTCGTAAAAATGTACGCCGTTTCTGCTCTTTCGGATTGTCAGTCATTTTGTACAATAGTTCTATGTATTTTTTCTAGAATTTGATTTATTCATCGTAGTCCTTAAATTTATCCCATATTTGTATAAACTACACAACAGAAGGAGATGTATGGTTATCAGATAATATTATTTTGACGTAATAGTGACATTTTTATATTTTATGAACTTATAGATTTTTACATTTATCTCTATGAGTGAGTTTTTATTTATGCATAAACAAAAAAAAAGTTTGGTTGTATTATAGAGGTAAATAAACCTTGCTCTTGTAAATACTGGTATCGGCGGAACTCTGCATTCTACTCTTTGGATTTGCTACTCTTTGGATTTAGGCATTCTTAAGTGTTAAAAACCGACTTCCAAACAAAATACACTAAAAACAAAACAAAATGCACTAAAAACAAAACAAAATATTCTCAAAAAAACAGTACACTA